AAGAACCACACCTTTTTTTGATTATCCATTGTTTAGACATTCTCTTCTCTCTGTATTCAATTCGTCACCACCAGCACCATAGCCATTTCCCTCCTGTCTCCTGGACATATTGTCAACACATGTAATCGCTTTCTTAGTCACATCATTTATTAAAGGAGAAAAGAACTTTTGCATCTGTTTTATATTTAGCTGTGTTTCCCCCCCCTCCCTCTTACAGCCTTCATACCATATTTAAAGCTCAAATTTAAGGGAGCAGAAGAAACATCAAGAGTCAGCTGAGGTCACTCTATCATTGGAGTACATCTGGTGGCTTATCTGTGCTCAAATAAATAATAATAATAATAATAATAATAATAATAATAATAATAATCATATCATCACCATGTTCAGCAAAACCAACCCAACAGAAGAATGTTACAAAATGTTACACATACTAGCTGCAGCTCATTGTATAAATCAGGAATGGGGAAATTATGAAGCTCAATATTGGAAGATTGTACAGTGGAGAAGGAGTCCTATGTATCTGTATTTGTTGTATATATGATTAAATCCCACCAGGCAGTTTAATACTTCAGGGTCTTCCAGGCCTTTGGCAGCATGTAATTTATGAGTTATTTTTTCAAGTGATGCTAAACTTCACATATTTTTATATCAGGCTGAAAGCCTCAGGTGTAAGGTTTTTCTTTTGGGGGCAACTGAAATTCTAGGAGTGGTGATTCAACAAAATTAGGAGGGCCACAGATGTTCCCATTGTAAAAATCAACATTTAATGAGTTAGCTGCTTACACTATAAAGTGCTCCACAAAGCTTCATGATCCGCTCCCAGGTGACCCCTCCCCATTAAAACTCTCCTACTAACAGTAATTTTGTAGAGGTTTTGATTGTGGGGAGTTAGAATTTAAGGGGTTAAAAACAGAAATCAGAATCCAATTGCAAGTTTGATCTTTTGTTACAGTCAGATCCAAATGTTTCTTCTTGCTTGTCTTTTATCCAGAGGAGACAATCTGTTGCAATAAGGGTTGACCTTTGCTTCAGCCCTGCCCAATATCTTGAAGTGAGCATTGCCAATTTTGCAGGCAAGAATAGAACCTGGCTAAACCCTTTTTATTGGATAGGTATAGTATGTAATATCCAGTTTTCATTCTGGAGTCTTTAGCTAGAGCTAGTAGCTGTGTTCCCCAAAAACCATGTTAATCCTTTACAAGGAAGCCAGAGTCAACCACTGCTTTTTAGAACAGTTCTTATGCAACAGTTAAGATTAATTGCATCTTCCATTTTGCACCTATTATGGCACGTTTGCATGTACGTAAAGGCCTTAAGAGTTAGAAACACCATTTAATTTGTTGTTTTCTACTATGACAGGTTACTTGTGCTGCAGTCAATAATTCTGTCCAAATGTAGGAAGTGAGCAAGTGTGCTTGGGCACTAGAGAGGTCCATGGGAAGGCGTTAACCCAGCAAGGTTCCAAAGCAGAATGAGAAGTTTATTCTGACAGTTCTTCTTTTTTCTGTCAGCTACTTGGCCATTGTTTTCAGCTGGATCTTCTAGTCAGACCCCTACTTCCAAGGAGACCACTGGTAAGTAAACCAGTACTCCTACGGCAATTCTGGGCTTCTCACATGGTCTGTTGCTGTCTTCACTGTTGAGGCTTAGGTGGTGCAGGGGGGTGGGAAGGCCTTGGGCTGTGGTCTGATGTATTATTGCAAGGGGGCATTCAGGTTACACAGCCATTAGCAGAGGAACATCAGGTTGCCTTGGGACCTTTATGGCAGCTTACTATATTTCTAAGGTACCCAGATTCCATTGATTCAAGAACCCTAATGTCCTACTTGGCTCCTTGAAGTTCTTCTGTGGCTTTGAAATATCCTCCAAAGTAAGTTTGATGCAAATGCAGCAATACTTTATGTTTCCTTTAAAATAAAGCTTTCCCCATAATTAAGCTGAATTCCTTCTATTCCTCCCCCCCCCCCCTTCCTTTCCCCCACAAACTATCCTCTGGTACATCTTGAGGCAATGCATACAGACTGATTAGGAGCTGTATAATCGTTGGAATGGTGGCTTAATTGTAGATGGGGACAGAGGAGCCTCTTTGATATTAGATTGAGCAATGAATTATGTGCATATTCATTGGGTCATCTGCTTGTTTTACAATCGAGAGCAATAGACTTTTTAAGATATTCTGCCCTAGAGCCATAATACAGGCTCCTATCATAAATAATTATGTTAAATTGGTTACTAAGGAGGAGCAGCCAGAGGAAGTTGCTATGGAGATGTTTTTGGTCCCTGCTCAGATACACTTGAATGGCTAATGTAGCCAGTCACAGATGTACAAATTTAGCTGGATACAAATCAAAATAAAGATAGGGAAATTAAGCTCATTTAACCCAAGGGAATAGGGCTTTTTTGGGTTGTTGTTTTTTTAAGACACAACTCTCTTTGGAAGACTCAACTTCACAGGAATGAGTACATCTGTGCTTTCTACAAGGTTTCTGGTTTCACATCAGGTAGATAATCCTCACAAAGCAACTGGTTCCCCTTAAGACTAAAAAAGGAAAAAAGGAAAAGGGATACATCTATTTAAAACACCAAGCAGTTTTGGTGTGGATGTTGTTAATTCACAAATAGCACAATTAGGACTTCTAATATTTAAGCCTTATGGGACATCATTGGGAGACAAAAGGGCTAAAGAGTAAATCCTGCACAGATCCGGAGGGGAGTCCCTAAGGCAGTTGGATGGTGCCTTGTACTCCTCCTTCTGGTGTCTCTTGCTGTCCAGTTAGTGCCAAATGTATTCTTCTGCTTTCCTTTAGACCACATCAACAAGACCAAGAGTAGGTTCTTGTGCTCTGGGCAGCCTGGGACATCCACACACACTGCCCGGTCTTGCACAGCAAAAACAACACGGGAGGCAGCAGTTATGAGTTACTGGTATATACATTCACAACAGGTGCTATGATTCTCTGGCAGTTTGGCTTCACCCATGGAGGCACAATCTGTTTCCTCCTGAGACAAAAAGATGACAACAAAATTATTCTCTGTAGGCCAGGATTGGGGAACCTGTCTTCCTCCAGATGTTCAAGAATAGCTCCTGTCAGCCCCAGCTTGAGATGTTGAAGATTCTAAGAATATATTCCATTGCTTTCTGGAATGCAAAGGTTGGAGTGAAGGCATGAGCCAACTAAACACCCAGTACACGTGCCTGAATCCTTTGCAGCATATAGATATATTTCTGTTGATAAGCAGTGGTTCCATGATGAAAAATATGTATATCATTTTACTTTTACCAATGTTTAATTGTTTTTTTAATGATTAAGTTTTCTATGTTTTTGTTTTTGTTTTATCCGTAAGCTATCTTGAGTCCCCCCAGAGAAAAAAGTGGGGTATAAATGCAGCAGCAGCAACAAAAACAACAACAGGAAGAAGAAAGATCAAAGCAGAAGCATGTGTTGGAAGCTCTGATTCTCATTTAGCTTTCACTTTGTAGATATTGCTTTACAATTAGGGGTGTAAGAAGCCATTTGTTTACATTCTAGTACAACATTGTGAAACTGTTTTCAGCCTGAGGCACACGTTCCCTTCTCAGCAACTATGTCAATGTGGGGTGGGGTGAGGTAAGAGGCAATAGCGAGTAGCAATGGATGCAAATTTTGCTTTTGTGCAGAAATTTAGATTCTTGCAGCCATGCAAACACCGCTCTCTATCCTCCACCCAGTTAAAAAAAGAGAAGCATTAGCAGAGTTCAGTGAAACATTCCACTTGAGCAAAAGAGGGTATAAGTAAGATCACTGAGGTGTGAGGCAGGTGAGGGGTTGTGGCTGAGAAAGAGGAATGTGACCTGGTCCGTTCTACCCACTACACAGTGGAAGCAAATGGCACTACCAGGTAAGTGGGGACCCAGGGCTAGGCATTGCTGGCTTTCCAGAAATGCTTTTAGCATTTTTCTACCTTCAGAACTGCTTACTGCAGAAGACTGAAGAAGCACTAGTTCCCACCCACTACCTCTCTCCCAAACCTCCTTTCTGAACCTACAGATAGAAGATGTTGCAGTTTTGTGTAAACTAATGAACTTGTAGCAGATGTTCTGAATCGGGGAAATGAATATTACATTGTGCTGCTCTGCAAATAACAGGAGCTAAAGGACTTGAAGCAGCTGTTGATAAAAGAAAGAAAATCTTGCATTACTTGCAACCATTTAACTCTTAACCCATGTAGTTTTTAGGGATGTATCAGTCAATTTCCAGTCTGTGGGTTAATTCCACATGTGTTCATTCATAAATCTGTTTCACCCTATATCTGATTTTTTTAAAAAACAAAAATTGTATGAAAATTCATACTGAAGTATATTTTTAAAAATGTATGTTACCACAAAATGCATTTGTCTCAATGTATGCATTTCAAAATGTATTTAATCTATATCTGTAAGAATTAGATTTTGTAAAGTTTAAGGTCTGGCAGGGCAAATCCACCTCTTTCTTTAGCATCAGTTAATATCTTAAATTTTATTTGAGGCTTCTTGCCCTTGAAAAGTATCATAGCACCTGTCTCAGGTATGAAAAACTGGATAGAAAAATATACTCTTGACATATCCATTCATTTCTGGAACATGTCATCATTAGGGAAAGTGTCAAGACCATAGGCAGATGTTTTAGGCAAGTCCACAGAAGTAGAAGCGAAGCGACCCATGCTGTATCCCTTTTGCATCATACTGTACCATCTATTTGTTTTCTTCTCCTTTCCTTTTGTGAGAAAAAAAGAGGCTCTGGCAAGCAAGCAGTGTACCAAGACCATAATGAAAACTGAACGTTAACGAAAAATGAGACCTTTTAATTTCCTGCCACTTGACAGTCCCATTCTCCAGCTCATGGGACATCTTGCTCTAAATTATTCATGAAACAACAGCAACAATCAAAAGTTTTAGCAGAGAGTGCATGCTCTGGAGTTTTGGCGGTTGCACTGTCAAACTCTGTTTGCTGATGCTTGCCAAGTCAGAGGCTGCAAGCTTTGGGAAAGGACTGTAGCTCAGAGATAGAGCATCTGCTTTTCATGCAGCAGTCCCTGGTTCAATCCCCAGTGTCTCTAGAAACGACTCTGAAAGAACATTTCCTGAAACTGGAGAGCAGTTTAAATTGGGTAGCTAACATTACTTTTGGCCCAATTGCTGCATTCATACTTGGCCAACCTTCTGGTAGACTTGTGAGCAGAGCCTACAGTGAGATTTCCAAAAAGTAAATGTGGTCACCGCACTCTGGCATCCACAACCAACAAAAAAAGGAGGCAAACAGAAACACACAGCCCTGCTTAGCCTTCTACTGACCCATGCATAACAGCTGAAGAGGGGCATTACCACTCCCTGGCTACTCCTCAAATGATCAGTTTGCACCTCCATCAGAGCACAGGGCTCAGACTACTCCAGCATAATGTCTACTTTCTTGGTACTTTTTGCTGTTAATATATAAAATATAAAAATAATATCAGTTGAGGAAGGGTATCAGAAAGCCTTGCTAGTGGTTTGAATCTGGTCTACAGACCGGGTGCTGGCCACCCCCTGTGCAGAGAACACTGAGCTAGAGTGACCAATGTATTGACTTTGTATAAGGCAGCTTCCTGTGATCCTGTACTTCATTCTTTTGCAACTCAAGCATTGACAAGGATTAGTGGAGAGTTTAATACTGTGTTTTTAGCACTTGCTTCCATTTCCCCACATTTATGCCATTTGTTTTGCTTTAGTGAAGGGAGAAGGGAGAACTCTGGAGAAGATCCAATAAGTAACAGATGGAAGAAGTTTCACTGGAAAACTGTTAGGATGATAGTGATTTGTCATAAGTTCACAAGTGATCCTTGAAAGTATCAATCCATTTCCTCTGTTCTCTCTTAGGATTCTGTTAGAGACTAGTTCTTACTGAGCTGGTGAATCTGTGCCTGGGCTGAACTGCTTTGGACTGTGGGGCAGAATCATTTCAGAGTGTAGTTCAAATCCCATAGAACTGAATATATGCAGAAGCATTTTCTTCACACAGAAAACTAGATGTTAGGGAGAAGAGATCTAATATACACTTTCCCCATGTGTGCATGGCATTTTGGGGGTGTGCAGGAGTGGGGGATATTCAGTCATATTCATGCACACCTGCACAGCCCAGAGAAAGGTTAATTTATTTTATTTTGCCGCTGCCTCCCCCGCCATTAACTTTGTTCCTTGGATGGCTCAGAACATAAAATAATAAAATGCAACATTGAAATGCGGTTGCCTCACCTCACTGAGAACTAGGCCAAAAAGTTCCCTGCTTTATCATATCAAGGAGCCAGCAGTGGCTGAGATCCCCAAGAGCTCAAAAGGTCCCCTCACTGGCCCAGCTTGGCTTTGCCATTACTCCCCTACCCTCTCACAGATGGCTGCTTTAGCCATGGGAGGGTGGCAATGCCACTTGTTTTTATACTGCAAAAGAAAAATTCATTAGCATTTTAGTGTGAATTTCTCTTGATATACACATTTTTCTTTGCAATTTTGCCTAATCTGCACATTCTTGCAAACCGGTGTTCCCAAATGTAATGCATTTTTGAATAAGATTTTCACTAACGTATGTATTTTAACATACACTTTACAGTCATGTGCACATTTTTGTACACATTGCTTGGCTAGAGAACTGCATTGCAGACTTCAGAGAAATGTAAAACCTGAAACTGTTTTAGTTTTTTGTATTATTTGGGAAAGTAATCCTACTTCAATCTTCTCTTCTCCAGGCTACACAAACTGCTCCTTCAACCTTATGTCATAGGACTTTTCTTCCATACCACTGAGCGTCTTTGTTTCCCTCCTCTGAACCTATTCCAATTTCTCTATATCTTCCTCTACTATGTATTTGGAAAGTTGTTTGTCTTTCAATTACAGTGGTACCTTGGGTTACAGATGCTTCAGGTTACAGACGCTTCAGGTTACAGACTCCATTAACCCAGAAATGGTACCTCGGGTTAAGAACTTTGCTTCAGGATGAGAACAGAAATCATATGGCAGCAGCGTGGTAGCAGCGGGAGGTCCCATTAGCTAAAGTGGTACCTCAGGTTAAGAACAGTTTCAGGTTAAGAACAGACCTCCGGAACGAATTAAGTTCTTAACCAGAGGTACTACTGTATTTATTTCAGCCCTTCTTACAACACTATAACCAAATTTTGCATGAGGGTTTCTGGTATCAAGGAGCAGGTTTTCACCTATGTTCAGTTTCAACTGGACACAAATTTGGATCATGATGGCAGACTAAACTTTTTAAAGCTACACAAATTTTAACCACTGATTTCACAAAAAATCACTGATTGTTTTCTCCTTCTTCGAATTCCCAAGTAATGCTGGGTACAATGCTGACCGTCCTTCATAAATTGTGGCACCAAGAACTGGGTGTAGACCTTTTAACAGTTCCATCTCCACTGTGATTCTTCCAGTTTCCTTTAGCTGGACCACCTACAGGTAAACATACTAGTGAGCCTTAATTTGTAGTCACAGTTCTATGCAAAGGGAATTGATTGCATTCATGCCAAGGTTTTTGGCAGAACATCTTATGCTGTAGAAAGCTGGATCTATCTCCTCTGTTTTTCCTTTGATGCTCTTGTTCAGAATGTGTAATGCTATTGAAAAATCTTGTTAATGGCCACACCTGCCTGTCTTTTGCTGCAATTATGGAATAATGTAAGCTGAGAAAATATGAAAAGGTGTTAAATTGATACCCATTTTCAGTCAGAAGTCAACCAGGCCCTGTTGGTTCACAGGCAGGTGTTTGAACAAAAGAGGCAAACAACAACATCATAAAAACCCACACAACAGTGGCAGCAACAAAAAATACCCTCCATAATAAATCTCAAGTAAATGTCTTGCAAAGGCTATTGAGTCTGGTTATTAAATGACAGAGAGAGAGAGAGAGAGAGAGAATCCATGCAGTAACTTTAGCTCTAGGTTACTTCTGATGTTGGCTGTCAATGCCTGCCATGAATTTTCAATACATTTGTACAATAATGAGAGCAACTGGGATCCCATGACTTTTCATGAGTGTAGAAGGACCACCTTCTGGTAGCTATTTTCATACATTCACAGAATGTATGGAAGTGAGACCAGGGTTTTGCCTCACCCTGCCCTTGATATCAGTGCATTCAATTGAAGGTTTGAATAGGCTGTTCAGTTGAATGCAACTCAGTCAGTTTGAATGGAAAAAATACTCCCCATGTCCACAGATCCCTATCTAGATCAGGTGTGAGGATTATCAGAAAGCTTTGTAGAATTAAAGGACACCCAGAAAACATACAGAGTCCATTGAAAGTAAGGTAAACAAACAAAATATTAGAACAACCTAACAGTGAGATTTTTCACTTAAATTTGCTGCCCCTTTTGATATATTTAAATGCCATACATTTTCTCATTACTTGGTGGGATATCGTGAAAAAAGAAAGAAATGTTCAGCGCAGCACTAATCCACACAGTGAAGCCACCTGGCCCACTCCACATTTGGCATCTATGCTATGTCTGCAGGGTTCAGAATGATCTTTTGCCCATGCCTCATTTGGTCCATTGGTTTGCCTAGTACATTTTGAAGACTTTGGAAGAAGCTAATTTCAGATGACTAGGTGATCTTGTACTCACCCTTATGTTTCTGATAGAGCATACCCATAGTGAAGAAGACTGTTCTTTTTAGATGTCCCCAAAGACATCATATATGCTGCTTTAGTAGATCTTAGGGCTTTTCACCCTGCCAAGTTCTTCAGAAGCTCTGTGAATTTAAATCAGATCAGCACATCAGTAATCGCTGGAAACTTTCAAGCAGAGCACAAACGTGTTTATTTTAACAGGAAAATGTACATCAGTGGTGGCTTATACTAAAAGCATATGACATCAGGGCTCCCTTTATAGATTATTAACCCAGAGGTCTTGAGTGCAGAGTCCTCAAGTGAATTTGAATGTCTACTAGAATAATCTTTATCTCTACTGCTGCATAAATGTTCTTTACATAGAACATTGCATTGTCACCAGGCAATGCAACAGGAAGGTAAATAGCATAGTTGCCATTCCTGGTATGTATGCATGTGTTTGATAGATCAGTATAGAGGCCCCATCTGCACTATACATTTAAAGCAGTATTACACACTTTAAAGAGTCATATCTTTCCCCAAAAAACATTGGGAAATGTAGTTTGCACAGAGAGTTGCTAGGAGACCCCTATTCCCCTCACAGGACTTCAGTTCCTCTAGAAATTGTATGTCTGTGAGGGGAGTAGGGAGTCTCCTAACAACTCTCTACACACTTACAAACAACTGATCCCAGGTTTTTTTATGAAAGGAGACGTGACTGTTTAATGATATTGGTGTGTTGGTATGATACCCTTTTAAATATATCATAAATATACAGTGTTACCACGGGTTAAGTACTTAATTCGTTCCGGAGGTCCGTTCTTAACCTGAAACTGTTTTTAACCTGAAGCACCACTTTAGCTAATGGGGCCTCCTGCTGCTGCCGCGCCACCGGAGCACGATTTCTGTTCTCATCCTGAAGCAGAGTTCTTAACCCGAGGTACAATTTCTGGGTTAGCAGAGTCTGTAACCTGAAGCATATGTAACCCGAGGTACCACTGTACAGACACATAATAATCTTCTTTATCAGCAATATCTACTAATATAAATTTTAGTGTTGTGCCAAAATATGTCCTCTGGTTTCTCAAAGGTTTCCTCCTTCCCACTTAGAACTCCATTATTCTATCTCATTCTCAGAACACCTGAGCATACCCTCCAAGGGTCCCGGTTTTCCAGGGACAGTTCCAGAATTACAATTTGATTCTGGAATGTCCTATTTTCCCCATCAGTGCTGCCACCAGCAAGCTCAGGGAGGAGGAGGAGCTGATGGAGCCGATGCTTGTTCTGTGTGATGGTGGTGGTTGTTGCCACTGGCACCATCTCCAGGAGGTCAGAAGCAATTTTTTGCTGTGGGTGCCCATGGGGGTCCAACCTCTGCCCCCGCTGCCCCCCAATGCCTCTTGCCGCTGCCTCTGAAACCAGCTCCATGCGCTGCTGCAGCCAAGCACTGCCCTCTGCAGTCTAGCACAGCCTATATC